AAAATAGACAAAATTAATCAAAATAGGTGCGTGAGCTAGTGGTCTAAAGCCGAACTAGAGCTTTTTATAGAAAATTTTTATAAACTTTGTTATATAGAAACCTATATAATACAGAAAAACAGGTTTCTTTATATTCAGTTTTTGCTACTAGCTATGAGATGGCGCTTATTTCATACCTTGTACATTGATTAAATACATATATGTATTTAATCAATGCCTTGTACAAGATTTCTTCCTGTGGAGTAGGCTGTGATTTCTTCATCTACGTCACACCATTGTTTAAGTATATTATAGTTGGAAAACCTATACGGACAATCACTTTCCCATGTAGAAAAGAATGAATATATATTTTACATCTCACGCGCTTCACTATGAAGTGGCGGTCGTAAAATTTTAAAAATCGTGTCAACCTGACAAAAGAAAATCATAAATATTAATAATCACTAGGAATAGTATAATAGTCATTCGTCCGTTAAGTAGTGAACATTTTTAAACACCCTGTGAAAAAACACTTAATTTAAAATTTGCCCTAGAACTATTTTTTGGTCCACAGACTTTAGTAACTTTTTTCACAATCTGTCTACCCATGGAGGAAGATTACGGAGTGACTATTAATGACAGAATCAAATTATTGTGTTGGTATTCCTGAATTGTTGGCAGCACTGTTAGCATGTGAGTGTATATTTGTTAATTTTGAAATGATCGCGCCTGACAAACGTCATTAGAATATGGCAGCTAACGACTTTGTTGACATTTTGGATTTGACAGTCAGGTATGCCATCGTAAAATTTCAAATATGTTGTCAACCTGACAAAAAAAAATCACTCAGTATAATATAATTTTCATTCGGCCTTGCCAAAGTAGGATCCGCCAAACAGTGACCATTTTTAGACACCCTGTGAAAAAATATTAAATTGAAAATTGGCCCTAGAAATATTTTTTGGTCTATAGACTTTAGTAACTTTTTTTTCACAATTTACCTACCATACATAGGGTATAAAGTATCATGTAACTGTTGTAAATTGGGAAACTGAAAAATCAAAAATTGAGAAAACGAAAAATTAAAAACTCTAAAATTGAAAAATTTCACATTGAAAAAATGTATAAAGTCAGATCACTGCAGAACCGAAAAATTTGAAATCAAAAATTAAAAGCTTGTGAAACTCAATTCGAAAAACTACAAAATTTAAAAATTTAAAAATTGCAAAGCGACAAACCGAAGAAACAAAAAAAATGAAAAATTGAAAAATTGCATAAGTGAAAATTCGAAAACTGGTGAAATTGCATATCGAAAAATTGCAAAACCCGAAAATTGCAACCGGAAGCTAAATACGGAAAATCTGAAAAAACGTAAAACTGAAGAAATAAAAAAAAAGAAAAATCAAAGAATTGATAAATCGAGAAATTGAGAAACTGTTAAATCTAAAACTGATAAAAGGAAAAATTAAAAACTCTAAAATTGGATGATTTTGCATTGAAAAAAAAATTATAAAATCAGATCTTGAAAAACTCCAAAACGTAAAACTGAAGCAACAAAAAAAACAAGAATAATTGAAAAATCGAAACATTTGTAAAATAAAGAAATAATAAAGAAAATAAAAACTGAAACGAAAATCCACAAATTGAAAAATTGAAGAACTGAAAAATTGGAAAATTGAAAACTCTAAAATAAAAAATTTCACTTTGAAAAAAAAATTGTAGTCAGATCACTGTAAAACTTTAAAACTGAAAAAATAAAGAAAATTCAAAATTAAAAGTGCGGAAACTCAAATCGAAAAGTTGCAAAATCTAAAAATTGAAAAATTCAGAATTTGGAAAATTGAAATACACAAAATTTAAACTTAACTCGGAAAATTGCAAATAGAAAAACTGAAGAAACAAAAAAAAATGAAAAACTGAAGTATTGAGGAATTGAAAAATTGAAGACTTGATAAGGTGAAAAACTGAAAAATTGAAGAATTGAAAAATTGAAAAACTGAATTGAAAAATTAAAAATTGGGAAACTGAAAAATCAAAAATTGAGAAAATTTTCATGTTGGTATTCCTGATAATGATTGAAGCAAATTTTTGTGTTGGTATTCCTGACTAATTGGTAGCAATGTTAGCAAATCAGTACATAGCTGTCAATTTTGAAATGAGCACGCCTAACAAACGTCATTAGAAGATGGCAGCCACTGATTTTGTTGACATTTTGGATTTGACAGTCAGGTATGCCATCGTAAAATTTCAAATATGTTGTCAACCTGACAAAAAAAAAATCACAAACATTAATAATCACTCGGTATAATATAATTTTCATTCGCCCATGCCAAAGTAGGATCCGCCAAACAGTGACTATTTTTAAACACCCTGTGAAAAAATACTAAATTGAAAATTAGCCCTAGAAATATTTTTTGGTTTATAGACTTTAGTAACTTTTTTTTCACAATTTACCTACCATATATAGAGTATAAAGTATCATGTAACTATTGTAAATTGGGAAACTGAAAAATCAAAAATTGAGAAAACGAAAAATTAAAAACTCTAAAATTGAAAAATTTCACATTGAAAAAATTTATAGTCAGATCACTGCGGAACCGAAAAATTTGAAAACAAAATTTAAAAATCGAGAAATTGAACAATCGGTTAATTCAAAAATCGAAACATCGAAAAATTGGAAAATCGAAAAATAAAAAAAAATTGGACAATCGAAAATTTAAAAATTCCGAAAATTGAAAAATTGAAATATAGAAGAACTGAAAACTCAAAAAATCGAAAAAAATTAATAATTTAAAAATTGAAAAGTTAAAATTGAGAAATCGAAAAACTGAAAAATCACAAAATTGAACGAAATATCAAAAAATTAGGAAATTAACAAATTGAGAAACAGAAAAGTCAAAAAGCAGAGTCTAAAAATCGCAAACTTAAAAAATCGAAAAATTGAAAAACAAAAACCTAAATAATAGAAAAATTGAAGAACTGAAGAACTGAAAAATCGAAACTTTAGGAAGTGGAGAAATGGGAATATAAAAAAATAGATTAACTGAGAAATCCGAAAACTAAAAAATCAGAAACGTCAAAATTTGAAAAATAAAAAAATATTGAAGAACTGAAAAATCGAAAAATCTAAAATTTAAAACATTGAAAAGTTAATATATCCTAAAACTGAAAAATGGAGAAATCCAAACATCAAAAAATCAAAAAAAAAAAATTTTTAATTTAAAAATAAAAAAACTGAAAAATCAACGAATCGAGAAGTCGAATTGGACAATTGAAAAATCGGATAAACCAAAAATCGAAACATCGAAAAATCGAGAAACCGAAAAGCAAAAAATCGAAAAACCAACAAATCGAAAAATCGAAACATCGTAAAATTCAAAAATTGAGACATCGAGAAATCGAAAAATCAAAAGACAAAAAAATCGAGGAGTCGAAAAATCGAGAAGACGAAAAATCAAAAAATTGAGAAACCGAAATGGGCCAAAATCGAAAAATCGAAAACTTGAATATGGAAAAATTGATAAAGCGAGAGATTGAATAATCAAAACATCAAAACATCCGAATCTCATTAAATTGAGATCTCAAAAAATTTAAAAATTCGGAAATTTAAAAAATTAAAATATAGACCTGGAAACTCGAGAAACCGAAAAATCTAGAAATTTAAAAATTAAAATATGGAAAAGTTGAAAAATTGAGAAATTGAAATAAAAAACAAAAAACTGAAAATCCAAAAATAAAAAATAGAAAAATCTTGAAGTCGAAAAATTAAAGAATCGAAGTATTGAAAAATATCAAAACTGAAAGAAATATCAAAAAATTGAGAAATCGAAAAACCAATAAAGCGAAAAGAGAAATTGAACAATCAAAACAACGAAACATCTGAATTCGATAAATTGGGAAAATAAAAAATTGAATAATTGAAAAATTTTAGAAAAGAAAAACTGGAAAATCGAAAATTAAAATTAAAAAAATCGAAAAATTGAAAAATTCAAATATAGAAGAACTGAAAACTCGAGATATCGAAAAACCTAGAATTTAAAAAAATGAAATATTAAAACATCGAAAAGTTTAAAAATTGAGAAATCGAAGCATTAAACAGTCGCAGAATTGAAAAATCTAAAGTTTACAATAAATTGAAAATCCAAAAAGTAAAAAATCGAGAAATCAAAAAAAAATCCATCAATTCAAACATCGAAAAGTCGAAAAATTGAAATATTGAAAACTCTCATAACTGAAAGAAATTGAGAAATTAAAAAATTGGAAAATTGAGAAATCGAAAATCTAAAAAAGCAAAATTGAAAAATCGTAATCTTAAAAAATCGAAAAACTGAAGAATTGAAGATGCGAAAAATCTAAACTTTAGGAAGTCCAGATATGGACAAATAAAAAAAAATACTTTAGAAATCGGCAAACTGAAAATTTAAAAAAGTGAAAATTTGAAAAATTGAAAAATCGAAATATTTAAAAACCGTAAAATTGAAGAGGACAAAAACTGAGAAATCGTATCATTGAAACATCGAAAGATTGAGAAACCGAAAAATAAAAAAATCAAGAAATAGAAAATTTAAAGAATGGAGGAATCGGAAAAGCCCAAAATTGAAATATTGAAAAATTGAGTCATTTAAAGTCGAAAAATCGAGAAATCGACAAGCCGAAAAATCCCAATAGCGTATTTAGGTATAAATCACAAGATCAGGACTATTCTACTTTTTAAAATTTAAATAACATTATAAATTGGAAAATGTTGATTTTTTTTTCCAAAAATCTTGACGTCTAAGCTGAAAACTCGACACGGATGCATAAACCGTAAACGGGGCGAAACTACAATTTTACTATTGTAAAATTTGACAAATTTTGGAGAGTGTAATTTGATAATACAATCTGAAATAATTAATATATATATACTTAAACAATGGTCACACATTCTGTTCATAATTTTGAAATGAACGACTGACAGACGGAAACCAGGAAACCCAGGAAACAAAAACAAAATTTTGACATTCACTGGGAAAGTAATAACCTTTTACTGGTTGATATTTTATTTCTTAAAAATAATTACGAGCTCTCCACCACGTAGCAGATTTATCAGACGTTTCACCCTCTTTGTCTCAATATGAGAAACTCAAACCTTCTTCACAATTTGAACAACGTCTTCGTCTGCAAGAATATGTTCAAGACCTACTTTCTGAGGCTGGTGTTTGACTGAAGAGCCCCAAACTAACGCACTATAAAAAATAAATTAACACACACACAAAATTTCAAAAACAATAATCTTACTATTTAAATTCTTTAGCAATGCTTCTGTGTAACTTATTGCAAAAGTCTTCTACAGACGTGTGATCAGAATGTAACACTACAGGTGCATTATAATCCGGAAGTTGACCCTTAGGTTTAGTGTAGCTGTAAAAACCATGAATTAGAAAAAAACTCGTGCAGTTAAATAACCACCCTCACATTCTAACCAACTTCAAATACTCCCACATTTTCTCCAACAAATCGTCGAAATTCCATTTATGGTGAGCCGAAATTGGAACGCAGTGCGGAATTTTATAAATAACATCCAACTCCTCTATACTAATCTGGTCAATCTTATTAAGTATATAAATACAAGGGACGTAAATCCGGTTCCCCTCAATCACATCAATCAAATCATCACTTGTCGCGTCATATTTCAATGTAACATCCGCATTATGAATTTTATACTCGGACAAAATCGACTTCACCGTATCCAAATCCAGCTCCGTCTGCTGCACCATGCAATTCAAATTAATCCCCCCTTTATCTTTCTTCTTGAAGTAGATATTCGGCGGCTGCTTATTCAGCCTCAACCCGAACCCCTCCAACTCGTGCTCGATCAGCCTCTTGTGAACCAGCGGCTTCAACACATCCAAACACAGGAAAATAAGCGAGCACGTCCGAGCCACTGCGATCACCTGCCGGCCTCTGCCTTTACCGTCCTTCGCCCCCTCGATAATCCCCGGCAGATCCAGCAGCTGGATTTTAGCCCCCTTGTACTTGATGCAGCCGGGGACGGTCGTGAGCGTGGTGAACTCGTAGGCGGCGACTTCCGAGTAGACGCCCGCCAGGTTGCTGAGGAGGGTGGATTTACCGACGGAGGGAAAACCGACGAAACCTACTCGAGCGTCGCCGGTTTTCGCTACGTCGAACCCTTCACCTGTGCCGCCCCCGCCGCCTTTGGGGGTAATCAATTCGCGACGGAGTTTGGCCAGGCGGGCTTTAAGTAAACCCAAATGCCCAGCTGTGGCTTTGTTTTTTTGAGTACGGGCCATCTGAAAAGTGAGGTTATGTAGCAAATCGGGTGAATGTTCACAATTAATTTACCTCTTGCTCGATGGCGGCGATTTTTTCAAGTATTGTGCTCATTTTTAACTTAAAGTACGCTTTTTTAAAGCGAAAAAGTGTGGATATTTACAAGTTGGAATTTGTCGGATACACGTTGTGGGATTGCTGTTTGACAAGTTTGACGTTTGACGTTTGTGACACGGCGCGAATTTTGAATTCCGATTTTTTCAAATAAAACAACAATAACTGTATTAAAAACACTTAAGACAATTATGTTAACTTAAAACGTGACAACACATTGACGTCAACTAAACTTCACATTTAACAATTAGACTTAACCTAGCGTGACTTATTTCTATTTCAAATGTTTGAAAAATTTTTGCATGACGTAGGACCTATCACTCGAGCGGGACGGTGGAGAAGTTTCTCCACGATAAAACGGCATTTGTGGCCTTTGGGGTAAGTCTCCTTCCAGGCCATAATACTCTGGATAAGGTTCCACTTGTTCTTGGAAAGGTGTACGCAACTGTCTTCTTTCAAAATCAAAGCGATCATCGTCAACGAAATTTCTATTAGAAGGACCTGGATTTAGGTTTATAGAACGTTCTGTCAAAACTCGTGGTCGGGTTCGGGGGGTATTTCGTGGCGTCTCCGCATCCCTGGTAGAATGGTCTCGATAGAGTCCCAGTTGTTCTAGGAAAGGTGTCGACAAGTGGCCTCTACTGGACCTTTCAAAATGACCATCGTCAACGAAATTTCTATTAGAAAAACTTGGACTTGAAGGAGGTTGTACCAAAAGGGGTGGTCTGCTTCGAGGGGTGTGATACTCCGGACGGGCTGCTTCCTGTCGTTCTTGGAAAGGCGTACGCGCGCGCTCCCTTCTGGACCCTTCAAAATCGAAACGACTCTCTTCAACAAAATCTCTACTAGAGGAGCTTGGAAGATTTGGGTTTAAAGAACCTTCCACCAAAGCGCTCGATATGCTTTGGGGGGCGTGGTGATAATTAGCATTCCTGTCTTGGTATGGAGGAGGCTCGTTCTCCTTTTCCATCATTTGTCTTATATATCGATAGCCTTCTTCGCTGACTTTATTCTGATGAAAGTCCGATGTTTCCTCGTGCGGCAAAAACGAATAATAAGGTGGACGAAACGATTGTCGTCCGTAGGGAGTCAGCGAATTGTTGGAATACCCATCGGATCTAAATGAAACCCGACGTCGGTCGCTGCGATCACTTTCGTAATTCGGATTCGTTATAGTTTCAGGTTTTTTATGATATTGATGATCATGATTTTCATATCTTGGATGGTAGTGTGAAGTACTAGGTGCATTTATGTCTATTGGGTGAAAGTAATTCGATCTGTGGGTGTCATATTCAACAAAGTGAGGTCTACTTCTATACAAATTGTCATCCCCAACGCTGGTTCTCGAGTTTCTGTACTCCGGCATACTTCTACCATTACCATCGGACAAGTCATCATCGGCAGAAATATCGTCATATTGCTTGAAAATGGGGTTAACCGTAGCGAACGACCTTCTACTACGATCATCCATATACGTCAGAGTGTCATATAAATCATCATCGTCCATATCGTAGAAGAATTCGTCATCGTCATAATCGTCGAAATTGTGACTATCCGTTTTACTCGAGTTCCTTCTGCTACGAGTATCTTCCTGCAAAGATTGCGGAGGTAACGCGAGTTGCATCAACGCTGATTGTTTAGAATCATTAAAAGGATCATCTTTTTCGTCACCGAAAGAGTGTCCTCTGGATGCAGAGTAACTCCCGAACGACGTTCGTTCAGGAACCACTGCTGGTTCTTCCCGGTTTAATTCCTTCTGATATTTCGAATAACTTGGCATTAGCCTGTCAGAACTGTGTCCTTGACTCTTTGAAGGTTTGATCAGCTTCTTGATGTGAACCTTTTTGGTCGGACCATCCTGAGAACTCGTTGATTTAGCTTCGGACTTACTAGAATGAGAGAAGTATGGACTTTGAGTTGCGTCAGTTTTTTCTCTACTATCCACCCGTTTTTTATCCGTTTCTTGTCGTTTACCGGCGTCACTACTCTCAGAATTCGCACATCTTTTCCTTTTCTTTTCGTTATTGTCGAATTCTTTTTTTACTTCTTTCATTTTTTCTTTCGACTGGGTTTGTGTTAAGAGGTGGTGGTAATATTCGTTCGGACTTTTTATCTGGGTGTTAGTTTTAGTCGAGGGTGAAATGAGGCCATAACTTTCGAGGAACTGGGTCGACACGAAATCACCAACTTTTTCCAAAACTTCTTCCGTTCGGTCTGCTTTCTCTTCTAACGACGAATCTTCGTACGCTTTGTCGCTCAAAGGAAAAAACGTTTTTGAGTGTGATGGAGTTTCCGAGGTGGAGCTTGATGTTTTGTTCAGAATTTTAGAAATTTCTGGGTTTAGTGGGGTCGAGTGTAACGACGATGGGTGGCTTAAAGCAAACTGTGAACAAGGATAAGTGAAGACGGAAAGGGTACTTACTCGTCGCTTTCGGTTGAACTCATGGTTAGTCGGTTGTAAGGGAGTTTGGGTGAAAATTTTACCGCTGGGGAGTACGTCAAAGGCGACCTCCAAGTTATCTTCTGGGTTTTGGGTTTATTTTCGAAACTTGGACTTAGTGTGGAGTTAGCGCAACTCTCGCCAAGTGAGCTTTTACAATGAGAGAATTTCTTTGGTGTGAAAGCAAATTGTTTTTTAATAGACTGTGAATCAATAGTTGTTTATTGTAATTATAAACTTATATAGTCCTCACCCGGTCGAGTTGTACATCAGAAGGAAGAAGTACTTGTTTCAAGGGTGAGCGTTTTACGCCGTCGTCGCGCTTTGAGCTGCATTGTTGTTTAAAAAACTGCGACCCGATAACAGTACTCTGTAAATACTTAGTAGTACCTATTGTTACAAATTAAAAATAAAGTCTCACCCGATCCAGTTCTGCCTTTGACGCAAAAAATCCGTCTTGCGGAATCGACGCAGTCAAAGCGGACAGTGAGCACTGGACGCTACCATCACACTTGGCGTTTTTTCCAGTACTAACAATTCTTTTTCTTTTCGTTTCTTCATCATCGCTATCATTCTTATCAAAAATAGTTACGTTCCCGTGAATAACAATTTTGCTATTGTTGCAAACGTCTTTTTTCTTGTCGCTTGAATATGTTTCTTCGTTGTTATTAAAATCTTCCCCCGGAGTTTTCGCGTCACTATTCCTCTTGCTTTTCATGTACATTTCCATGAAAGTCTGCATGTATGTGGTGTCATCGCTTTGATTTTTTTTCACGATTTTCTTGCCTTTTCCCTTTTCTTTTGGTGCATTTTCGAACTTGGTGGTGCAGTCGATGCCAGCTGAAGATCGTAGTTTCAAAAAACGAGAAAGTGGCAGCCGGTACTTACCCCAGTCTTCGCTAATAAAGTGTGCTTCGATGTCTCGCAGGCTGTTTTCTTGGAAATCGATAAAACGAAAGACGGTCGGGTTTTCCATGAGGTACGAGTGACTATAAGGGTTAAAGTTAGGACGTTGTGTTTCTAGTGGAAGTTAAGCTTCACCTGTATTTCTCGTAGAGGAGGATATTATTATCTGCGTCCCCCACCAGAAGGTACATCAATGAGTTGCGATTGACTGTACATGTTTGTTCTAAATCGAGAGCGTTCTCTAGAGAGATAGTCAATTTGATGACATTTTTGCCACAAAGTTCTAATTTTAAGACGTATTTGGGTAAATAGCGAATTTGGTTTAAAATTTTACTACCGGTTGGAGGCTTCTTATTAATTATCTGCAACACGAATCAAGATTGAAACTATAGAAACGGAAAACACAAATACCAGTTCAATTTCTCTAGCATCACACTCCAGTATCAACTGAAAAGTGGTCTTCTCCGCGTTGACCAACTGGGACGACATAACATTCCCGATCCCAGGCAACTGCTTACTAACAAAGGGAGAATTTTCCCAAAGCTTGACGATAAAACACTTTGATAAAATAACAGCGTTTAGCAACGCCTGAAAACACTTATCTTTAGATTCGAGGTACTCGATCAAACCTAGAAACACATCATCACTCTACAGTTTCCACAATCTCCGTACCCACATTTAACTATTCTTTCGCCGTTTCGCATTATTTTTAACGTTTCGGACAAAATCGAATGGTCACAAATATCCAGACACCCTAGAACGGCTTGAATGATACTAAAACCCACAATTAGTTAAAATTTCGACAACACCACTCCCTACCAGTTGATTTTCATATCAACAGTCTTGATTTTCCCGTTCAACGGAAACCTAATAGTCTGCTTATTGCGACACTTGTTCAACAAATTCAGACACTTTTTGTCGTTGACTCTCAAATACATCTCTGAAAATTCGTGACATTTCGATATCAACGCCAAAATCTGCTGCAGGATTTCGCCTCCGGTGATCTAAATTTTCTCTGTAGTTGTAAGTACGACCGAATTATACGTACCTGCGTGAACAGTTTCATCGTTTCGAAGGCGAGGTAATACTTCGCCATCGCCGCCCCCACGGAGGTCGCCTTGAGAAGGACATCTTGATCTATTGTTAGCATTCCCGCTTTAATTAGTTTATTCAGCTCAATTTGACACATTTCTAGAAACAACACCGTCAAAGGAAAGTCGTTCGAGCGGAACTAGCAGTACCTAGAAGCCTCCTGTCTATCGAAGACGGATCTGAAGACGTTAAGCCATAATAACGCGGATTCTTCCGCGCCCTGATGTACAAAAAAGTCGAAGAGAGCCAACGCATGGCGACCTCAAGGTCCGTTATGGTCTGCAACACCACCTCTGCGTTCAAATGCTCAATTAGATGCTTATGCAAATCGGACTCTACTGGCTGCAAGCCGCCTATCATCTTCTCGAATTTTTCCTAAGAAAATCAAACCACAATTATCAATTACACAATATCGAGTAAGAGTTTTGACACGAAATGTCAACGTGGGAACCCCTCGCCGCGCGAATTCCTCACACAAATAATGGGAGCATTTTATTGCCTTACAATGCGAAAGATGTAACGAATTTATTAATATTCATCGAGTTTTGAAACATCACCGACGCCAAATCACTTCCTACGTCGCTTAGGCTCGAAATTCCTCATTTAGATTTTTCTAAATCCAGAACGGGTCGTTCTGTCAATCACGCGAAAATTATTTCAACCCGATTTTCCGTTTAAATTGCGCCAAATTTTTAATAACTGGAACGTTTAAAAAAAATTCGCACATGCCGAAACTGTGTGAAGATCACTTTCTCTCTTGTTTGGGACGTTTTCGTAGTTGCGTCTTCTCGAACAGGGATACAACCTTGGCGGAGATGAGTTGAAGGGGGTCTCATATAAATTAGGAACGATTCGAAAATCCTGCAGTTGTGTGCAGTCCGGTGGTTAATCAGTCGAAGATGTTCAATTTGTGGGTTGTTTGTTTGTTGGGGTGTGCTCTGGCTGCACCTCAACAGCGGGCCGATGAGGCCCCAGCTCCGGTAAGCAGTGATAACGTTGATAATAGTACCCGGAGAGCAGTTACTAACGAGACTCATTAGGTACTCGTTGCGGTGATTGCATACATTAATATTCATTTAGTGTAACTGATACATGAATCATAATAATTGAATTACTGTGGTACTACTATCATTAAATATTAACCCAATTGACATTAAGTTCCTTTTCTAGTACGACTTCAAGTACAAGGTCGAAAACCCCCCCACTAACACATTCTTCGGCCAAAACGAAGTCGGCGACGTAACCGGAAGAGTAACAGGGTCGTACTACGTCTACCTTCCCGATGGAAGACTGATGACCGTGGAGTACATCAGCGACCAGAACGGCTACGTCCCCAGAATAAGCTACCAGCAGAACGCAAGACCCTTCCAAGGATAACCCCACAAACTATTTAATATTTTGTACTTACCGTAGACTTTTGCAATAAATTATCAAAACCTACCTTGTCTTTCATTGTGGTGAGAATCAAAGCTGTCGCTTCGGTATCAAACTGGGGTCTTCCAGCCCTGCCTATCATTTGGGAGAGCGACGTTTCGGTGTAGTCGGTAAAGCCACCGTTGGCGTAGCACTTGGTGGACTTGACGATGACCAGATGGGCTGGGAGATTGACCCCCATGGCTAACGTGCTCGTAGTGACCAGAATGGGTAAATCGCCGTTGCGGAATAGGGTTTCGACGACGCGTCGGGTTTGTGGTAACATCCCGGCGTGGTGGTACCCGACACCATGAACTAAAGTCTCCTTTACTTTGACATCGGAGATGGAGTTTGCTGCTTCCACCAAACACTGCTTCTGGTCTTCCTTTAAATTTATAGTCAAGTGGTGCAAAATGTGCTTGGCGGTCATTTCAACGATTTTGCGAGTACCGCAGAAGATCTACAACGACTTAATCGAAAATCCGAACCTCAAACTACTACAAACAGACGTACTAGTGTAGGCTTTCCATGAGAGTACTGCATTATCAGCGACTGCAGTTTATAGTTCAAAGACAAATCAAACTTGAAGGGACTTGTTTTTGACTGGGTATTATGATACCCCAAGACGATCTTATTGAGTTTGACCGGTCTATAATCCCCCGAGAACCTAAAACACGACAATGTGGTACCACCACAACTGATAGATAAATTATACTTGTGGCACTTCGAGTTAGTTCCTAGCCATTCTGCCACATCTTCGATATTAGGAACAGTGGCAGACACAGCCACGAATCTAATTTTGCTCAAATCGTCATCCAAGTTCGATTCTTCGATAGTTTTCATGCGACAAACCTTGAAGCAAAATTTATTATCACACATTTTCAAAATTTTGCTAACGCACGATTGTTTCAAGTGTGGACCCCCTGAACTCCTCGTTCAACAAATGAATCTCGTCGATCATGACCAGTTTGATGATTTTGACGAGTTTGAAAGTCTCGCTGTCGCGCCACCTACGAGTAACACAGTCCCACTTCTCGGGGGTGGTTATTATAAGATTGTGGTTGAGAAGATTTTGGACTTCTACGTGTTCGCTGTCACCCGTTACGGCGATCGCGTTGAGGCCAAAATTTCTGAATTTCTTGTGCCAGTCGACGAGTCGTTCCTCGCAAAGGGCTTTCATAGGGCAAACTATTGTTTCTCGTTTGTTAGAAATTTGAAACCTATACATGATTCTACTTACTGTAGACGATTTTAAAAGGGGTGGAAAATTGGGTGTGTTCTAAAGATATCAAAAGTCGTACTATTGCGAGTTCGAAAATCGTGGTTTTGCCACCACCAGTAGGCGCGGAGACAACCAGAGAATGGTCTGGAAATTTGTTAGTGAAAATGTTTCAGGAGAAAATAGTACCTACCTGTGTGCAATACATCGTCGATTACTTTCGACTGGATGATATTGAAGTGGGAAAATTCGGAAAATATTTCGCGATAAGGGGGAGGAATTTCCTCCACTGACCTCAGGTTCTCAAATTGGTTGCTGAAATGTTGTTAAGTTCGTATTTGCATAACAAAAGAAACCGATCCAAGGTCTAGTAGTACCTCTATGGTAAACAGGTCCGTACTACTATACCGTAAAAAAATTGTACGGGAAATCTTTTAAGTACGAATAAAATTTTAATCCGACTCAATGGAATGAGTACCGAAGTCAGTACGGTCCTGCTCATGGGAACTCTTGTTCTTGTACAATTTAAAAACAATGAGATAACACGAAGATCAAGCATATGTTAATTGAATTAGCTCATTATTAGGCAGCGTAAAGCAGAACTAAAGAATTACTCTTGTACTAAACGGAAATGTACGGAAAAAATGGTATCCTTGATCTTAACAGCGATTTATTACCCACCACTGTGTATCTATTACTTGTACATTTTTTTTAAGAGAAGGTTAAAATTATTTTCACGGTGCAGAAAACACCGACTCGTGTTATGTCACCTTACGAAAAGTGTTATGACGTCACCAAAAAATTCGTTGTTATGAAATTTGTTCATTTATCATCATTTCTGTAGCAATTTTTTTCAGAAAAAATTTAAACTATCGTCTTGTGGAAGTTCTAAAGAGGGATTTATAAACTTGCTGTTGACGTTGACGTCGACACGTTTTCAGTTTTTTGTTGTCGAAAGAAGTATACACATGTTAAGAAAACAAAGCAAACTTTAGTCCCGCCCACCCGCCCTATCTCAATTGTGATGAATTTTTCATTCGTTGTCAGATCGAGAGGCGGAGCTTAATTGCAAGATCCATCCAACCAAGGAAAAATTTACCATTATAAACTTGTTTTATGTTTCTAGTTCTGGAAAGACGACTACGTATATAAAGAAAATAGGCAAAATATAAGCCCCGCCCACCCGCCCTATCTCAATTGTGGTCATTTTTTTTGAATCGTTGAGTGCCAAGGGTGTAGAATTTAATTGCAAACTTGTAAAGAAATAATTATTTTGCATTTACGCCCCGCCCCGTTGGTTGACGGTGAATAAAAAAAGGTCATCACAATTGAGACAGGGCGGGTGGGCGGGTTTACATTTTGTCATTTTGTTTGAATATGTGTAACCTCTTTTCATAACATGACACTTAAAACATATTTAAAATGGAAAATTTGTATAAGGAAATATAAATTTTGCGATTAGACCCCGCCCCATAATTGCAAAATCCATATTTCCTTGCAAAAATGTACAATTTTAACCATATTTTAAGTTACTTGATACGAAAAGATGTCTATGTATATTAAGAAAAAAAACAGCAAAATATAAGCCCCGCCCACCCACCCTATCTCAATTCTGATGATTTGGTTTATTCGTCGTAAGCCGAGGGACAGTACTTAATTGTAAAATCCTTATTTTTCTATGAGAAATGACCATGTGAAATATGTTTTTAAGCAATCGTGTTATACAAGGGAAACTAAATGTAATAAATAAAAAAGAAAACCAAAAGAGAAGACCCACCCATCCGTCTCGATCTTAATCCTGATGTATATTTTATTCGTTATCAGACCGAGGGGCGGAGCGTAATTCCAAAATCGATATTTCCCTGTACAAATTTATCATTTTAAACATGTTTTAAGTATCTTGTTGTCGAAATAAGTCTACACATACTAAGAAAAAAAAGGCAAAATGTAGCCCCGCCCACCCGCCCTATCTCAATTGTAATGATATTTTTATTAGTCGTGAGCCAAGGGGGAGGAGCTTAACTGCAAAATCCTTATTTCTCTACGACAAATTAAAAACATGTTTTTGAGTATCGTGTTATTCAAAGTATACCATGTATGTTAAGAAAAAATTAAAACCCAAGATTAAGCCCCACCCACACCTGCCCTGATCTAAATAGTGATGAAGTTTTCATTCGTTAGCAGAGCTAGGGGCGGACCCTAATTGCAAAATCCACATTTTCATACAACAATTTGCCATTTTAAACATGTTTTAAATTTCTAAGAATATAAAAAATTATCACAATCGAGATGGGGTGGGTGGGCGGGATTTATATTTTGTTGTAGGTTAAGTATTTTGCAGTTAAGCTCCGCCCTCTTAGTCGACATCGAATAAAAAAATCATTACAATTGAGATAGGGCGGGTGGGCGGGCTTACTACATTTAGCCTTTTTGTTTTAATATGTGTAGACTTCTTTTCATAACATAAAACTTAAAACATGTTTAAAATGGAAAATTTGTATAAGGAAATATCGATTTTCAGTTAGCTTCCGCCCCATAATTGAAAAATCCATATTTTCTTGCAAAAATGTACCATTTTAACCATATTCTAAGTTTCTTGTTCTGAAAAGATAGCTATGTATATTAAGAAAAAAAAACAAAATATAAACCCCACCCACCCACCCTATCTCAATTCTGATAATTTTTTTTAATCGTCGTAAGCCGAGGGGTGGAACTTAATTGTAAAATTCTTATTTTTCTACGAGAAATTACCATATGAAATATGTTCCTAAGTAATCTTATTATACAAAGAAAACTAAATGTATTAATTGAAAAAAAAAACGAAAGAGAAGCCCCACCCATGAAGTTTTCATTCGTTGTCAAACCGAGGGGCGGAGCGTAACTGGCAAATCGATATTTCCCTATACAAATTTACCACTTTAAGCATGTTTTAAGTTTCTTGTTGTGAAAAGATGACTACACATATTAAGAAAAAAAAGGCAAAACATAGCCCCGCCCACCCGCCCTATCTCAATTGTGATGATTTTTTTTATTAGTTGTGAGCCAAGGGGGGGGGGAGCTTAACTGCAAAATCCTTATTTACGATTAGGCCCGCCCCGACCTCAATTATTAATTATGGGGAATTTTTCATTCGCCAGATCGAGGGGCGGGGCTTAATTGCAAGATCCATATTTTTCTACAAAAATTCACCATTTTAAATATGTTTTAAGTTTCTTGCTTTGAAAAGACGACTACGTATATTAAGAAAAAAGACAAAATATAAGCCCCGCCCACCCGCCCTGTCTCAATTGTGATGATTTTTTTTAATCGTCGAAAGCCAAAGGAGCGGAATTTAACTGCAAAATCCTTATTATATTTTCTCTACAAAAATTACCATAAAAGACAAGTTTTTGAGAATCATGTTATTCGAAGAATACTGTATATTAAGGGCAAATTAACACCCAAGGTTAAGCTCCACCCATACGCACCCTGATCTAAATCGTAATGAAGATTTCATTCGTTGCGAAATCTAGGGGTGGAGCCTAATTGCAAAACCCACATTTCCTAACAAAAATGTGCCATTTTAAACATGTTTTAAATTGCTAAGAATATAAAAAACCATCACAATTGAAACTGGGTGGGTAGGCAGCATTCATATTTTGCCTTTTTTTTTTTCTTAATATACATTGTATTCTTTGAACAACACGATACTCATAAACATGTTTTTAATTTCTTCTAAAGAAATAAGTATTTTGCAGTTAAGCTCCGCCCTCTTGGTTCACATCGAATAAAAAAAATCATTACAATTGAGATAGGGTGGGTGGGCGGGTTTACATTTAGCCTTTGTATTTTAATACGTGTAGACTTCTTTTCACAACATGAAACTTAAAACATGTTGAAAATGGAAAATTTGTATAAGGAAATAATTGCAAAATCCATATTTCCGTGCAAAAATGTACGATTTTAACCATGTTCTAAGTTTCTTGTTGTGAAAAGATGGCTATGTTTATTAAAAATATATATATAGGCCCCACGCACCCACCCTATCTTAATTCTGATGAATTTTTTATTCGTTGTCAGACCGAGGGGCGGAGCCTAATTGCAAAATCGATATTTCCCTGTACAAATTTACAATTTTAAACATGTTTTGTTTCTTGTTGTGTAAATATAAATACACATATTAAGAAAAAAGGCAAAATACAAGCCCCGCCCACCCGCCCTATCTCGATTGTAATAATAATTTACGACTAAGCCAATATTACGAAATTATACTTACATGTTGTTTATAAATCGACCTTTACTCTTCCAAATTAAGGATAATTAATAGAAAACGATTTAAAGTGGTAGTCAATGAAATCATCAAATTATACACTAAATCGCATTCTTAGTCCTTTTCTAATACGTAGAAAAGTTGATTGCGTGGCGATTTATACAACAAATACAAAAGTAACTCTTTACTGCGTGTGTGGCAAGCCAAATTTTTTCGACGACCGAAGAATAACATTTATAATCAATAATGAAATTTTCCCACATTTATATGTCGAGATTGACACAAACAATTAATTGCGATAAGCCACAATTTACTTAAAAATTCACCCCGAGAACTTAGATATCGTGACGCCACTGGACATTTGTGACGTCACACCATACCATTTCCAAGGAATAAAAGCTACGAAAAACGGATTTTTCGGTACTTTTGCAACTCTTTGTCGGAAATAAAGCCCTTAGTGGTGAAATAAACATCAAAAATCGTTTTATAGCGCAAAAATACCAAAAAATCGAGACATACCGATTAACATGTTCGTGCACAATTGCACCTCTTTCTACCAAATTTTCCCTCAAAATTTCAAAATTGGCACCTAATTCTTCCCTCCGCGAATACATTTTTGGGAAAAATCGGCCCAAAACACGAAAATTTCCACTTTTCTTTCACAAAAGTCAAACCTGCAGCGTTATTGTTTCTGATTGTTGAAAATAGGCACAGCACACTTGATCCCTCGAATGTGCTAATTGGGGTGGTTGCTAACTTCTCCCTAGTCGGAAAAAATATAAAAAAATCTGTGAATTACGAAAAAATATGGACAATCCAGGAAATTAATCGAATATGACGCCAAAATCAAAATAGACGCCACTTTTTCTGATCAGAAGCAGAAAACGAGCGTGCGCAGGAATAATTCAGAGTGAAGTTTGACCCGAACCGAGCCGAATCGTACCGACCAAGTCCGAATGTAAATTCGTATTTAATGATTGTTTATTACTCACCAAAACGCAAACAAAACTCTTGTTAGGGTCCACATTTCTCAAATAATACTCCAAAGCGGTTAACCATGAAGACTGGAATCAAACTCGACTCCCAAGACCAAAAAGTAAGTGCCCCCCGATTTTGAGGTTACCCTAACGTTTACTTGTAGGAAAACACCAAAACCACACGAAACGCGCTCAAACTCTTGCAACACACAGCCGCCGATAAGGAAAATCTCGCCGGGAGGTTACACGAAAAAGACAAATTGGCTAGGTAAGCTAACCACAATCGGTGTTAACCAATTAAGTGCCCCATCCAGCTCTAGCTACAGAAACGACCACAAACGCAAACCCAGCGAAGACAAGGCCGTGCAGACCGGAGAGTCCGTGATTACGGCTGCCGATTTAACGTCGGACGAACCCAGCGCGGATTATTGGAAGCGGGTGGCAGAGAAACGCCAGGAGATGCTGGACGAGAGTTTGACGGAGAACGAGAAGCTGAAGGGGGCGGTGGAGGCGCTGCAGGAGGAGAATAAAGCGTGTAAAGAAATGTTGGACGAGTCTAGGGCTTTGGTTGAAGTTTTACAGGTGGGTGTTGTTGTTTTGTGGGTTTGTGGTGATCGGGTGTTTGCAGGAGATGCTGGCGGAGGATGACGGGAACGGCACGACGGAGGCCGCAGAAGAGGACTAAGACGTTTTAATATGTATTTTTATAAGTTAATTTTAAGAGACGTTTTTCTAATAAAAATTGCTGATTGCTGAGTGGAGTTGTTTTTGGGATCTAGTAGGTGAGAGTGTCAAAGTTTGACATAAGAGCAGGGTGGCAACTTGGCAGGGTTAATAAATAATTAAACACAATCAATGTACAGAGTGTTTGTTTGAAAACGTTTTTGTGACTCAAACAAGGAATTGTAGCTGGAAGTATGGATATAAGTGGAGGCAGAACGATGACACAAGTAATAATAATACAACTTTTGTCATTTTTTATGAAAATTGTCTTCTTGATTTTGTAGAGGTCCCCAATTTCAAGTTTTATTAACGGTGAAGCGAACAGATCCCTTGGTGGTGTTAATGGAGTAAACCAAACTCTGAATGGGGTAAATAACAATTCTGTTTTTATCACTCTAATGGGGCTACTTTTAGACCATATCCAGCACACAAGAAGTTCCAAATGAACGCCAATCCAACACCTCTGGGGTAAAAATCACCCTATTTATTCATACATAGAAACAAAATTATACTTTTCAGCAGAATTCTGAAACTGACAAAACGTACTTTTTTACTGGAACTGCAGAACGGGTTATAGCTTGGAACCGGGTTCTTAAACATAGGTGTTTTTATGAAGTTATAGGTGGGTTGTGTTTCCGTGATCTGTAAAGTTACCAAAAAACTGTTTATAGCCACATTGGTGTCTGTGCAAGAGAACCAAGACAGTCTACATAGCATTATTCTTTTGAAAGACAAAAAGGGGCCAATATTGCAAGTTACTCATTATTTTGACCATGAGATGCCTGAGGAGCAATTTATTGTGGGGGAGACTTTGAGGTATATGATGTGTTTTAAGGTGGCTCTGAGTGAGTGTATTTTGACCATAAGGAGAAACACGGGTTGCATTCAAAAACTACAACTCGGTTTGGCCCGAAAATTTTGAGTATTTTGGACGAATTAGTTTTGTTTTGTTTTTTTGATAAATAATATTTAAGTTTAACAAAGAATTAATTAGTAGAGACGTAGTTAGAAAGTAAAATAATCCTGAACTTGTGGTTTATGAATCCGTGTCGAATTTCTACTTTAGACATCGATTTTTCGGTTTTCCGATTTTTCAATTTTTATCCAGTTTTTCTATTTTTCAATTTTTGGATTCTCAGTTTCTCAATTCTTTTAAATTGTTCGATTGTTCAATTTTTGACGTTTCTAACCTTTCAATTTTTCGATTTCTCAATTTCTCGACTAATCGATTTTTTGATTTTCCATTTCATGATTTCTCGACTTTCCAATGTTTCAATTTTTCGATTTTTTAAATTTTTTTGATGTGTGATTTTTCAATTTTTTGATTCTTTGATATTTTTTCCGTTTTTCAATTTTTGGATTTCAGTTTTGGGGTTCTTCAATGTGTCCATTTTTCTATTTTTCGATTTTACGATTTCTCGATTTTTTTCTTTTGCGATTTTTCAATATTTTAATTTTTCAATATTTAAAAATTTAGATTTCTCGATTTTTTGATTCTTCAGTTTTTCTATATTTCTAATTTTCAGTTATTCAAATTTTAGATCATTTAATTTCTTGATTTTTCGATTTTTCAATTCGATATTTCTAATTTACAATTTTTCGAATTTTTAAATGTTAGATTTTTCAGTTTTTTTTATGTTTCGATCACTCGAAACAATTCAATTTTTCGATTTTTAGATTTTCGATTTATCGAGATTTAGATATTTCGATTTATCAATTTTTCGATTTTTTAGTTTTTCGATTATTCAATTTTTCGATTTCTTAAATTTTGGATTTTCGGTTTCTCATTTTTCGATTTTTTGATGTTTTAACTTCTCGTTTTTTTTTTAGTTTTTCGATTTTTTTGAATTTTCGTTATTAAAGCTTTTTCAGTTTTTAAATTTAAATTTTTTTGACTTCTGGATGTTTCGATTTTTCGACTTTTCAATTCTTCGATATTTTTTTGTTTTTTTTTTTTATTTTAAAATTTTCAATTGCATAACTTTTCGATATTGCGCCATTTCGATTTCTCAAGTTTTCAATTTTTGGACTTCTCGACTTCCGATTTCTCCATTTCCCGATATTTAATTTTTTGAGTTTTTCAACTTTTCGGCTTTTCGATTTTCCAGTTGTGTATCGTGATTCCGATGTTTCGATTTTTTCATTGTTCGATTTTTCAATTTTTTATTTAATTTAAAATGTTTCATTTTATAAATTTTCCAAGTTGGACCACTTCTATTTCTCAATTTTTTTATTTTTCGACTTCTCAACTTTCGATTTTTGGATTTCCCAATGATTTTCAAATTTTTTGAATAACTCGATTTTTCGACTTTTCGATTTTCCAATTTTTCCATGTTGAAAAGTCCTAAAACTGAAGCTACGAAATTCAGTTTTGGAATTTTTCAATATCTCGATTTTTCAGTTTTTCGGTTTTTTAAATTTTGGATTTTCGATTTATCAAGATTTCGATGTCTCTTTTTTTCTATTTAAAATTTTCAATTTTTGTAACTTTACGATTTTTCTCAATTTTCGTTTTTTTCAGTTTTTCGATTTTTAATTTTTAGATTTTTCAGTTTTTAGATTTTTCGATTTCTCAATGTTTCAATTTTTTTGATTGTTCGATTTTTCAATTTTCCAGATTTTTTGATTTATCGATTTTTTTAATTTAAAATTTTCAATTTTATGGATAGCCGATGTTGGGTCATTTCTATTTTTGGATTTCCCATTGTTTTTCACTTTTTGAATTTTTTGATTTTTTAATTTTCCAATTTTTCAATTTTTCGTTATTTAAAATTTTTCACTTTTTAAAATTTAAAATTTTTCTATTTCTCGGTTTTAGATTTTTCGGTTTTTCAATCTTTCCGTTTTTAAAATGTTTGATTTTTATTTTTCAGTCTTTCGATATTTAAATTTTTAGGTTTTTTTAATTTTTCGATTTCTCGATGTATGGAGATTTCGATCTTTTGGATTTTTGATTGTTCGATTTTCCCGTTTTTTTGATTTATTGATTTTTTTATTAAAAATTTTCAATTTTATAACTTTTCGATTTTGAGTCATTTCAATTTCTCAATTTTTTTTATTTTTCGACTTCTCGACTTCGATATTTCGGTTCCCCTCTGAAAAATTCTGATACTGAAGTCACGAAATTCAGTTTTGGAATTTTTCTATTTATTTCAGTTTTTTGATTCTTCAATTTTCCGACTTTTCAGTTTTTCGTTTTTTTTTTTAATTTTCGATTTTCGACTTTTCGAATTTTCTATTTCTCGTTTAAATTTTAGACTTAAATTTTTTAGTGTTTCGATTTCTCGATTTTTCAATTTTTCAATCTTTTTTTCTCAATTTTTCGACTTCTCGTTTTTTTAGTTTTTCAATTTTTAAATTTTAGTTTTTTCAATTTTCGAAATTTTTACTTCCATGTTTCCAGTTTTCAATTTTTCGATACTTAAATTTTAAATTTTTCAATTATTTTGAATGTTCGATTTTTAAATTTTCCCGATTTTTTTGATTTATTGATTTGTTTTTAATTTAAAATTTGCAATTTTATAAATTTTCGATGTTGGGCCATTTCGATTTCTCGGTTTTTCGATTTTTCCACTTTCGATTTTTGGATTTCCAATGTCAGTTTTGAATTTTTCGATTTTCCAATTTTTCAGTGTTTCAGTTTTTCAGTTACCAATTGAAAAATTCTAAAACTGAAGTCTCGAAACTCAGTTTTGGAATTTGCAATATCTCGTTTTTTCAATTCTCCGATTTTTCAATTTTTCGATTTTCTAATTGTTGGATTTTCGATTTCTCGGTTTTTCAGTTTTCCAATTTTTCGGTTTTTCGATTTATCGTTTTTTTTAAAGTTCAAACTTTCAGTTCGATTTCCCTCAATTTTCAACTTCTCGTTTTTTAGTTTTTCGATTTTTAGGTATTACATTTTTCAATTTTTCGATATTTAAAATTTTTCCCTTTTTAAAATTTAAAATTTTAAGATTACTCGGTTTTAAATTTTTCGGTTTTTCAATTTTTCGATTTTTTAGTTTTTCTATTTCTCTATGTATCGAGATTTCGATGTTTCAATTTTCGTGATTTTTTGATTTATCGATTTTTTTAATTAACAATTTTCAGGTTTGTAACTTTTCGATTCCTCAATTCACTTCGATTTCTTGATTTCCCAATGTTTCAGTTTTTGAATTTTTCGATTTTTCAAATTTTGGATTTTCCCAAATTACTATTTTTGGGTTTCGCTTTGAAAAATTTTAACAACATATGTTTAACAATTATTTAAGACGTTTGTACTTATAAGGACATCTTATTTCATATTCTGTTTTTTAAAACTATTGTCTATTTTAGAACTTTCTTCTGTTAGTCAATAAAATTTATAATAAAAAAAAAAAACACTGATTTTTCTCTATCTCGATTTTTCGGTTCTTCAATTTTGCGACTTTTCAATTTTTCGTTTTTTTTTTAATTTTGGATTTCCGATTTCTCGGTTTTTCGATTTTTCTGTTATTCGTTTAAATTTTAGATTTTTAAATTTTTTGATGTTTCCATTTTTGATTTTTCAATTTTTCAACAGTTTAATGTTTCAATTTTATAACTTTTCGATTTTTAAATTTAGATTTCTCAGTTTTCCGATTTCTGAAAGTCCTAATTTTTCAACTTTTCAGTTCTTCCATATTCCTAATTTTCAATTTTTCGACTTTTTAAATTTTAGATTTTTCAGTTTTTTGATATTTCGATTTTTCGGATTTGGAATTTTCGATTTTAAAATTTTTCTATTTTTCGATGTGTCGAGTTTCGATGTTTCGATTTTTTGATTGTTCGATTTTTCAATTTTCGTGATTTTTTGATTTATCGATTTTTTTAATTTAAAATTTTCAGTTTTATAACTTTTCGATTATGGGCCATTTCGATTCCTCAATTCACTTTGATTTCTCGATTTCCCAATGTTTCAGTTTTTGAATTTTTCGATTTTTCGAATTTTGGATTTTCCGAAATTCCTATTTTTGGGTTTCGCTTTGAAAAATTGTAACACTGATTTTTCTCTATTTCGATTTTTCGGTTCTTCAATTTTGCGACTTTTCAATTTTTCGTTTTTTTTTAATTTTGGATTTTTGAGTTCTCGGTTTTTCGATTTTTCTATTATTCGTTTAAATTTTAGATTTTTAAATTTTTTGATGTTTCCATTTCTTGATTTTTCAATTTTTCAACAATTTAATGTTTCAATTTTATATCTTTTCAATTTTTAAATTTAGATTTCTCAGTTTTCCGATTTCTGAAAGTCCTAATTTTTCAACTTTTCAGTTCTTCCATATTTCTAATTTTCAATTTTTCGACTTTTCAAATTTTAGATTTTTCAGTTTTTTGATATTTCGATTTTTCGGATTGGATTTTTAGATTTTAAAATGTTTCTATTTTTGGATGTGTCGAGTTTCGATGTTTCGATTTTTTGATTGTTCGATTTTTCAATTTTCGTGATTTTTTGATTTATCGATTTTTTTAATTTAAAATTTTCAGTTTTATAACTTTTCGATTTTGGGCCATTTCGATTCCTCAATTCACTTTGATTTCTCGATTTCCCAATGTTTCAGTTTTTGAATTTTTCGATTTTTCGAATTTTGGATTTTCCGAAATTCCTATTTTTGGGTTTCGCTTTGAAAAATTGTAACACTGATTTTTCTCTATTTCGATTTTTCGGTTCTTCAATTTTGCGACTTTTCAATTTTTCGTTTTTTTTTAATTTTGGATTTTTGAGTTCTCGGTTTTTCGATTTTTCTATTATTCGTTTAAATTTTAGATTTTTAAATTTTTTGATGTTTCCATTTCTTGATTTTTCAATTTTTCAACAATTTAATGTTTCAATTTTATATCTTTTCAATTTTTAAATTTAGATTTCTCAGTTTTCCGATTTCTGAAAGTCCTAATTTTTCAACTTTTCAGTTCTTCCATATTTGTAATTTTCAATTTTTCGACTTTTTAAATTTTAGATTTTTCAGTTCTTTTGATATTTCGATTTTTCGGAATTGGATTTTTCGATTTTAAAATGTTTCTATTTTTGGATGTGTCGAGTTTCGATGTTTCGATTTTTTGATTGTTCGATTTTTCAATTTTCGTGATTTTTTGATTTATCGATTTTTTTAATTTAAAATTGTCAGTTTTATAACTTTTCGATTTTGGGCCATTTCGATTCCTCAATTCACTTTGATTTCTCGATTTCCCAAGGTTTCAGTTTTTGAATTTTTCGATTTTTCGAATTTTGGATTTTCCGAAATTCCTATTTTTGGGTTTCGCTTTGAAAAATTGTAACACTGATTTTTCTCTATTTCGATTTTTCGGTTCTTCAATTTTGCGACTTTTCAATTTTTCGTTTTTTTTTAATTTTGGATTTTTGAGTTCTCGGTTTTTCGATTTTTCTATTATTCGTTTAAATTTTAGATTTTTAATTTTTTGATGTTTCCATTTCTTGATTTTTCAATTTTTCAACAATTTAATGTTTCAATTTTATATCTTTTCAATTTTTAAATTTAGATTTCTCAGTTTTCCGATTTCTGAAATTCCTAATTTTTCAACTTTTCAGTTCTTCCATATTTGTAATTTTCAATTTTTCGACTTTTTAAATTTTAGATTTTTCAGTTCTTTTGATATTTCGATTTTTCGGAATTGGATTTTTCGATTTTAAAATGTTTCTATTTTTGGATGTGTCGAGTTTCGATGTTTCGATTTTTGATTGTTCGATTTTTCAATTTTCGTGATTTTTTGATTTATCGATTTTTTTAATTTAAAATTTTCAGTTTTATAACTTTTCGATTTTGGGCCATTTCGATTCCTCAATTCACTTTGATTTCTCGATTTCCCAAGGTTTCAGTTTTTGAATTTTTCGATTTTTCGAATTTTGGATTTTCCGAAATTCCTATTTTTGGATTTCGCTTTGAAAAATTTTCACACTGATTTTTCTCTATCTCGATTTTTCGGTTCTTCAATTTTGCGACTTTTCAATTTTTCGGTTTTTTTTAATTTTGGATTTTCAATTTCTCGATTTTTCGATTTTTCTATTATTCGTTTAAATTTTAGATTTTTAAATTTTTGGATGTTTCCATTTTTTGATTTTTCAATTTTTCAACAATTTAATGTTTCAATTTTATATCGTTTCAATTTTTAAATTTAGATTTCTCAGTTTTCCGATTTCTGAAAGTCCTAATTTTTCAACTTTTCAGTTCTTCCATATTTCTAATTTTCAATTTTTCGACTTTTTAAATTTTAGATTTTTCAGTTTTTTGATATTTCGATTTTTCGGATTTGGATTTTTCGATTTTAAAATGTTTCTATTTTTCGATGTGTCGAGTTTCGATGTTTCGATTTTTTGATTGTTCGATTTTTCAATTTTCGTGATTTTTTGATTTATCGATTTTTTTAATTTAAAATTTTCAGTTTTATAACTTTTCGATTTTGGGCCATTTCGATTCCTCAATTCACTTTGATTTCTCGATTTCCCAAGGTTTCAATTTTTTGAATTTTTCGATTTTTCGAATTTTGGATTTTCCGAAATTCCTATTTTTGGGTTTCGCTTTGAAAAATTTTAACACTGATTTTTCTCTATCTCGATTTTTCGGTTCTTCAATTTTGCGACTTTTCAATTTTTCGTTTTTTTTTTAATTTTGGATTTTTGATTTCTCGGTTTTTCGATTTTTCTATTATTCGTTTAAATTTTAGATTTTTAAATTTTTTGATGTTTCCATTTTTTGATTTTTCAATTTTTCAACAATTTAATGTTTCAATTTTATATCTTTTCAATTTTTAAATTTAGATTTCTCAGTTTTCCGACTTCTGAAAGTCCTAATTTTTCAACTTTTCAGTTCTTCCATATTTCTAATTTTCAATTTTTCGACTTTTTAAATTTTAGATTTTTCAGTTTTTTGATATTTCGATTTTTCGGATTTGGATTTTTCGATTTTAAAATTTTTCTATTTTTCGATGTGTCGAGTTTCGATGTTTCGATTTTTTGATTGTTCGATTTTTCAATTTTCGTGATTTTTTGATTTATCGATTTTTTTAATTTAAAATTTTCAGTTTTATAACTTTTCGATTTTGGGCCATTTCGATTCCTCAATTCACTTTGATTTCTCGATTTCCCAAGGTTTCAATTTTTTGAATTTTTCGATTTTTCGAATTTTGGATTTTCCGAAATTCCTATTTTTGGATTTCGCTTTGAAAAATTTTAACACTGATTTTTCTCTATCTCGATTTTTCGATTCTTCAATTTTGCGACTTTTCAATTTTTCGTTTTTTTTTAATTTTGGATTTTCAATTTCTCGGTTTTTCGATTTTTCTATTATTCGTTTAAATTTTAGGTTTTTAAATTTTTTGATGTTTTCATTTCTTGATTTTTTCAATTTTTTAACAATTTAATGTTTCAATTTTATATCTTTTCAATTTTTAAATTTAGATTTCTCAGTTTTCCGATTTCTGAAAGTCCTAATTTTTCAACTTTTCAGTTCTTCCATATTTCTAATTTTCAATTTTTCGACTTTTTAAATTTTAGATTTTTCAGTTTTTTGGTATTTCGATTTTTCGGATTTGGATTTTTCGATTTTCAAATTTTTCTATTTTTGGATGTGTCGAGTTTCGATGTTTCGATTTTTTGATTGTTCGATTTTTCAATTTTCGTGATTTTTTGATTTATCGATTTTTTTAATTTAAAATTTTCAGTTTTATAACTTTTCGATTTTGGGCCATTTCGATTCCTCAATTCACTTTGATTTCTCGATTTCCCAAGGTTTCAATTTTTTGAATTTTTCGATTTTTCGAATTTTGGATTTTCCGAAATTCCTATTTTTGGATTTCGCTTTGAAAAATTTTCACACTGATTTTTCTCTATCTCGATTTTTCGGTTCTTCAATTTTGCGACTTTTCAATTTTTCGGTTTTTTTTAATTTTGGATTTTCGATTGCTCGGTTTTTCGATTTTTCTGTTATTCGTTTAAATTTTAGATTTTTAAATTTTTGGATGTTTCCATTTTTGATTTTTCAATTTTTCAACAATTTAATATTTCAATTTTATAACTTTTCGATTTTTAAATTTTAGATTTCTCAATTTTTCGATTTCTGAAAGTCCCAATTTTTCAACTTTTCAGTTCTTCGATATTTCTAATTTTCAATTTTTCGGCTTTTTGATTTAGATTTTTTGGTTTTTTAAATGTTGGATTTTCGATTTATCGGTTTTTCGTTTAAATTTTAGATTTTAAAATTTTTGGATTTCTCGATTTTTCAATTTTTCGACGACGTTTTTATTTTTCAATTTTTTAAATACTAGATTTCCCGATTTTTCGATTTTTAAAATTCTTCGACTTTTCGATTTTTCAAATTTTCGACATTTTAATTTTAGGGATTTTTCAATTTCGATTTTTCAATATCCCCATGTTTGAATTTCTCGATTTTTCGAAAAGCATTTTTTCCGTTGTATGACTAATAAGAACGAAGAAAAAAAAGACCGAATCTGCACTCAGAGCCATCTAACGGCAGCAAAACAAAACAAAAACTTGCGGAGCCACTTAAGTTGAAACTTTTGTCACTTATTATTTCAACCCCCAGATGTGTTGGATACATGACAGGAATCACCACAATGCTCGCCGTCAGCATTCGAGCAGCCACCCCCGAAGAAACCGCCGTTTTAAAACGCTGTTGCTACATCGGCGACTTCGCCATTTCCGGCTTAGTAAACGCAGAAGACCGCTAGCCGCAATACACCCATGTATAAAGAGTTGCCTAAACTCTCACTATTCAACAAACCCAACTTTTTTGTAATTTTTTCCACAAATAAACGCCTTATTGTACTTTTTTAAACCCACATTTGTCAACAATCACCCATTGACATTGTCACAACTGTCAAACGACTTAAAATGGCATAGCCACATCCAAGATTCCAGTGAGTGTTTTAAGATTGTCCCTCGGATCCAGAAGTGCGGTTTATGACAACCGACAAGAAGAAACGGAAATGGGCCGACTGGAAAACGTTAAATACACGGTAGGTATGCAGCATAAGTGGCTTGTTATCGAGTATGTGATAAGCGCTGATAAAACTGGATGCTTATTTTAAAATGAGTGTTTTAGTTGAGCCTGATGTCGGCGGTTTAACGTGAACGCTGTTTAGAGGGGTTGAAATTGCTATGATTACATCGGGGTTAATTTTTGATGAGCATCGTTAGGAAATCGATGCCGCGATCAGGATTTCTGTTTGTGCTTGTTACACTGCGAGAAGGGTTAATATTGATAACAAAGAAAAAACATTTGTAGAAAGTTTCGAAAAATTATAAAATTTGATTTTGCGGTGTCATTATTTTTTTGCATCACCCTGTACAAGTAAATCTAAAAATTATTAATGCAGTGATAAGTCGCAAGTACTGACTTATCAGACTTTGCACATTTAAGATAGGATTTGTTCAGCGAAATTTTAAGGTGACGTCATCATTTTTTTAGGGGGGAGGATGAGCAACTTGTTTTTGATTAAAAATTTACCATGCTTATGTTAACTTTAACACAACTCCAAGATTTCAACGAATAATTAAAAAATTGCCAAAATTGAAACGTTGAGAATTACTTGGGAAAGCGAAAAACCGAGATGTCAAAAAATCGAAAAACTGAAAAATCGAAAAGTCTAAAAATTCAAAAACTGAAAAAAAGCGAGAAATCGGAAGTCAAACAGTCGAAAAATCGAAAAATTGAGAAATCGAAATGGCCCCAAATCGAAAAGTTATAAAATCGAAAATTTTAAATTAAAAAAAAATCGATAAATCAAAAAATCAGAAAAAATCGAACAATCAAAAAATCGAAACATTGAAATCTCCTTAAACCGAGAAATCGAAAAACTGAAAAATAAAAAAAAAATTAAACTGAATAACTGAAAAAAATCAAATATTTTGAAAATCGAGAAGTCGAGAAATCGAACTGTCAAAAAACATGAAAAAATTAAAATTTAAAAAATTGAAAATTAGAAATATCGAAGAAGTGAAAAGTCGAAAAATCTAGACACCCAGAAATCGAAAAATTTAAAACTTAAAAAATTGAAAAATGTTAAATATGGAAAAATTGAAAAATCGAAAAATCAAAAAAATGACATCCGAAATTTAAAAATCGAAAATACGAAAAAATGAAAAGTCGAAAAATTGAGAGAAATCGATAAAATTATTATTAATTATAAAATTCAAAATTTTATATTAAAAAAATAAACGAAAAATCGAAAAACCAAGAAATCGAGACTTCCCAAAACTGAAATATCGAAAAACTGAAAAATGGAAGAAACATCAAAGAATAAAAAAATTGAAAAATCCCAAAACTGAAACATTTAAAAATTGAAAATCAAAAAATCTGAAAATCGAAAAATGGAAATGTTGAAAACTTGAGAACTCGAAAAACCAAGATGTCAAAAAATCGAAACGTCGAAACATCGAAAAATGTAAAATTTTAAAAATCGAATAACTGATAAATAGAAATATCCAGGAACTGAAAGATCGAAAAATCGAAACATCAAAAAATCGAAAATTTAAAAAATCGGAAAATTGAAGAATCGAGAAACTGAAAAGTCGAGATATGGAAAAATTACTCGGTTTTAAATTTTTCGATTTTTCAATTTTTCGATTTTTTAGTTTTTCTATTTCTCGATGTATCAAAATTTCGATGTTTTTGGTTGTTCGGTTTTTCAATTTTCGTGATTTTTTGGTTTATCGATTTTTTTTAATTTCAAATTTTCAATTTTATTACTTTTGATTTTGGGCCAATCGATCCTCAATTTTTCTATTTTTTGACTTCTTGACTTAATTTCGATTTCTCGATTTCCGAATGTTTCAATTTTTGAATTTTTCGATTTTTCGAGTTTTGTATTTTCCGAAATTCCAATTTTTCGGTTTCGTTTGGAAAAATTCTAACACTGATTTCACGAAATTCAGTTTTAGAATTTGTCTATATCTCGATTTTTCAATTTTTCTGTTCTTCGATTTTACGATTTTTCAATTTTTCGTATTTTTTTTTTAATTTTTGATTTTCAATTTTTCTATTATTCGTTTAAATTTTAGTTTTTTAAATTTTAGATTTCTCAATTTTTCGATTTCTGAAAGTCCCAATTTGCCAACTTTTTAGCTCTTCCATATTTCTAATTTTCAATTTTTCCACTTTTTAAATTTTAGATTTTTAGATTTTTAAATTTTTCTATTTTTCAGTTTTTCGATTTTTTGATTTCTCAATGTGTCAAATTTTTAATGGTCGATTTTTTGATTTATCGATTTTTTTTAATTTAAAATTTTCAATTTTATAACTTTTCGATTTCCCAATGTTTCAGTTTTTGAATTTTTAGATTTTTCGACTATTCAATTCTTTAATTTTTCGATTTTTCAATTTTTCGATTTTTTGACTTCTCGGTTTTTCGATTTTTAAAATTCTTCGACTCTTCGATTTTTAAATTTAAAAAATGGAAATATCGAGGAACTGAAAGATCGAAAAATCGAAGCATAAAAAAATCGAAAATTTTAAAAATATAAAATTTAAAGATCGCAAAATCGAGAAATCGAAAATTCAAAATTTAAAAAATCGGAAAATTGAAGATTCGAAAAACTGAAAAATCGGGTTGTGGAAAAATTCCAAAACTGAATTCACAAAAAAGGAGAATCCGAAAAATTGAAACATCGAAAAGTCTAAAAATTCAAAAACTGAAAAAAAACAAGAAATCGAAAATGAGGAACCGAAATGGCCCAAACTCGAAGTTATAAAATTAAAAAATTTTAAATTTGAAAAAAATCGATAAATGAAAAAATCGGAAAAATGAAAAATCGAACAATCAAAAAATCGGAAATTGAAATTTCGATAAACCGAGAAATCGAAAAGCAGAAAATCAAAAAATTTTAAAATTGAAAAATTAAAAATCAAAAATTTTAACAGAGAAATCAAAAACCGAGAAGTCGAGATATCGAAATGTCAAAAAAAAATGAAAAAAATCTAAATTTAAAAACTCGAAAAATTGAAAATTAGAAATATCGAAGAACTGAAAAGTCGAAAAAACGGGACACCCAGAAAATCGAAGAAATTTTAAATTTAAAAAGTTGAAAAACGTTAAATATCGAAAAGTTGAAAAATCGAAAAATCAAAAAATTGAAAAATCCAAAATTTAAAAATCGGAAAATTGAAAAAATGAGAGTCGAGAAGTCGAAAAATTGAGAGAAATTGAAGTTATAAAATGTTTTAAATTTTGTATTTCTCGATTTTTCAATTTTTGGACGTTTTTATTTTTCAATTTTTTTCAATTTTAGATTTCCCGATTTTTCAATTTTTCGATTTTTGACTTCTCGGTTTTTCGATTTTTAAAATTCTTCGACTTTTCGATTTTAAAATTAAAAAAATCGAACAATAGAAATATCGAAGAACTGAAAGATCGAAAAATCGAAACATAAAAAAATCGAAAACTTTAAAAATATAAAATTTAAAAATCGCAAAATCGAGAAATCGAAAATTCAAAATTTAAAAATCGAAAAATTGAAGAATCGAAAAACCGAAAAATCGAAATATTGAAAAATTCAAAAACTGAATTCACAAAAAAGGAAAATCCGAAAAATTGAAACATCTAAAAGTAAAAATTCAAAAACTGAAAAAAACGAGAATTCAGAAATCGAGAAGTCGAAAAATCGAAAATGAGGAATCGAAATGGCTCAAAATCGAAAAGTTATAAAATCAAAAAATTTTAAAATTGAAAAATTAAAAATTTTAATAACAGAAAAATCTAAAACCGAGAAGTTGAGATATCGAAATGTCAAAAAAAAAATGAAAAAATCTAACTATAAAAACTCGAAAAATTGAAAATTAGAAATATCCAAGAACTGAAAAGTCAAAAAATCGAGACACCCAGAAATCAAAAAAATCGAAAAAAAAGAATCCAGGAATCGAAATATCGAGAAATTGAAAAATAGAAGAAACATCAATAAATCAAAAAATTGAAAAATCCCAAAACTAAAACATTCAAAAATTGAAAAATCGGAAAATTGAAAACTGGAAAAATCGAAACATCAAAAATCTCAAAAATTGAAAAATCCAGAAATTGAAAAACTGTCAAAATTGAAACCTTGAAAACTTGAAAAATCGAAAAACCGATACGTCAAAAAATCGAAACATCAAAACATCGGAAAATGTAAAATTTTAAAAATCGAAAAACTGAAAAATAGAAATATCGAAGAACTGAAAGATCAAAAATCCAAAATTTAAAAAATCGAAAAATTGAAGAATCGAAAACCTGAAAAATTGAGATATTGAAAAATTTTGGAATCGAAATGGCCCAAAATCGAAGTCATAAAATCAAACATTTTAAATTAAAAAAATGGATAAATCAAAAAACCGGAAAAAACGAAGAATCGAACAATGAAAAAATCCAAAGATTGAAATCTGAATATATAAATCGAGAAATTGACAAACTCAATAAACAAAATTTCAAAAACTGAAAAACTGAAAAATAACAAATCAAAAATTTTAATAATCAAAAAATCTAAAACCGAGAAGTCGAGAAATTGAAATGTCAAAAAAAATCAAAATCTAGAAACTGTAAAAATTGAAAATTAGAAAAATCTAAAACAAATAAGTCGAAAACTCGAAAAATTGAAATATCTAAAAGCTGAAAAATCTAAAATTTAAAAATTCGAATAATTAAAAAAATTAGAAATATCGGAGAACTGAAAAATCGAAGGATCGAAAATTCCCAGATTTTAAAAATCGAAAAATCGCAAAAAAAAGAATCCAGCAATCGAGATATCGAGAAATAGAGGATTCGACATAAAGAAAAATTCCAAAACTGAAATATTGAAAAATTGAGAAATGAAAAAATTGAAAAACCGAAAATTTAAAAAATCGAAAAATGAAACATCAAAAATCGAAAAATTGAAAAATCCAGAAATTAAAAAATTCTCAAAATCGAGAAATCTAAAATTTACAAAAATTAAAAAATTAAAATCTGGAAAAACTGATAGATCGAGAAATCGAAGCATAAAAAACTCAAAAAATTTAGAAATCTAGAATTTAAAAATCGAAAAACCTAGATCGAAAATACACAATTTAAAACAGGAAAAATTGAAGAATGGGAAAAAAAAGTAGGCAACAATGAAAGTTTGTGAAAGCCACTTAAGTACCGCACTACAATTATTGATAATACTACCATGTAAGATAGCGAGGAATTTGTAAAACAATGTCGATAACAACATTATTATTAATTTATGTTGTAAAATAGAATGAGATGGTTATCAACAATTTATATCACTATATAAATTAGGGGGGGGGGTACCTTAAGGTATAAAACTGCTTATCATTGTCTCAGACAATACATCATCAATTATAACAAAATCTTTATTGCACGTTATGTCAATACATTGTAAATAAAAGATTTAAAAAACAATTCATTTTACAGTTTAGCTCTAATGAAAAGTGTACTTTAAACTGCTACTGAAACAACATAAAACTTAACGTTTACAATACAATACAATAAATGAGTGCTGTAATGGCCACTTTTAAACGAGGGTTACTTACACATCTACACCGTCCTGTAATAATAATTATTATTAATATATGTTAAACAAGTACAAAAAAATAAAAAAAATCTCCTCTAAGTTAACCTTGCCTAAATAATATTAATGAAGATTCACGAATTTACCTGACTCAGCATTTTCAAAAATAACTACCTCCCATTTGTGCATAACTGATAATAGACATTTGACAGACGCACACAAAAAGCATACTTTACTCAAGTGGCACTCAAAATAAATAAAAACGTACATGAAACTACTCGAAATACATTATTCTACGTACCGCCAAAAGCGAGAATGATTGTGCAAAATTTTGAGAAACCCACGAAAATGAATCATACGCTCTTGAAGTGGTACCACGAACGGTGGACACTCGCGTTTTTATTAGTTAATTAATTAGGTACCCAAAATGAGTGTCCGTTGATGGTACCAAATTTTTCCTCGACGATGGGTTTTCCACTCCGCTCGTTCGCGTTATCAGAACGTTCATGGGTATGCAGTTTTATCGCCTACAATGGTTTTACCACGTATTTGAGTAATTTTATGTAGGTAGTGTCATTGCGGCAGTGCCACGAGGCGATATTAATAATCAATTAGTACCGCGGTACTGCTGCACGCCGCTGCACATTTCGTCGATACAAAGTGTATACCCAAATTATGAAATTACGCATTAAACGCTGATTACTGATGATTGCGAAGATTTAACATAAACAAAGTCGATAGTACTGGCGGGGATTTCTTCAGGGTAAGTCCGAGTCTTGTGATCGCAGCTAGTTTTCTCTTTTTTTCATAGCAGTACTCGCCACTTTCTCCGGCCAAGATGACCATCATCTACGATTTGCGCAAGCTGAAATCGAAAAGGTACCACTTTGTAATATATATATATTTTTTTAAAAACATTGATGTAATCGCTGGGGTTATTAAGTTGTTAACTTATCTCATCATTTATAATAGGTGTACCTCGCTGTAATTACAATAGAATGTGTATGGATTCAGTACCAAATTGTAGAGGAAAGTGTTTGTGTCGCTCGACAATTTTGCTCGCTTCGGCATTGAACTAATCTTTTTATTGTTGCTTATTTAATCTGTTGCGGAATAATAAGAAAGGCTCGCCGGAGGTGACTGCTCAGCATGATCAATAAGTAAGTCGTACTTGGTACTTTTGCGCTTTTTATGGGGTTTCCGCTGTTTAAGTTCGGCCGTGTAACCGTTACGCAACTTGGCGACCCGTGATAGCGATTGGAGTATTATTAGTTGGTGAAGCACTTGATTTTTTTGGACGAAATGTGGAGCGCGACAGTGGTACCGAAGACATGGTTATCTATGTTGCGTATCAAAAGTTAAACAAAATTCACTTTTATGTCACGGTATTATCGAGACGCAGTTGTATAGATTTGACAACCTCATTTACTTGGTTTTAAGAGACTTCTTTGAATATATACGGGGCTTTAAAATTAATTCCAGGTGTACGTGACGCTGCACTTATTTTATTTACTTTGAAGAAACTTCTAAATATTCTTTAACGGATATTTCAGAAAATTATTTCTAACTAATTGTCAAATAATCAAAGTTTGTGAAAAATCACAGTCGGTATAAATACACTGATAGTTTTTTTTTATTATTATTATGGGTATTAAACTCCTCCGCCTCCTCTCTGCGGGTTGTCATAATTCCCTATACACTCAGGTAGAATAAAATGGACAAGGACTAAGTGTTATCTTCTATTCATCTTCTATTTCAATTTTGGGACTTTTAATACTTCGGCTATTAAATTTATTGCGACTTTTTAAAACTTACATTTTTAGATTTTTCAGTTTTTTGATTTTTCGATTTGTTGATGTTTTGATTGCTCAATTTTTGAAATTTTTAATTTTTAGAATTTTTAGATTTTAGATTTTTCACTTTTTTGTTATTTTGATTTCTCACTCTTTCGATTTAACAGTTTTCTTTTGATTTTTCACCTTCTCGTTTTTAGATTTTCCTGTTTTTCAATTCTTCGGAATTAATGTTTCAGTTTTCGATGTTTCTGTTTTTCACTTTTTGGTTTATTGGTTTTTAAGTTAAAATTTTTGAATTTTTGAATTTTTCGGTTTTTCGACTTCTCGAACTTTTGATGTTTCGATTTCTCGATTTCTGTTTTTCGATAATTTATCTTTTCGATTTTTCGATTTTCCAATTTTTCAGCGTTCCAGATTTTTCAATTTTTCAATTTTTGGGGGTTCCAAGTTTTTGGATCTTTCGATTTCTCGATTAATCGATTTTTTAAGTTTTCGACTTTTCGATTTTTCGTCTTTCCAATTTCTCGATTTCTCAATTTTTCGATTTTCAAATTTTCAATGCTTAAGTTTTGGGATTTTTCAATATGTATTTCGGTTTTTAAATTTTTAGGTTTTTCGACTTTGTTTTTTCATTTTACTTATTCAATTTTTTAAAATATTGCGACTTTTTAAATCTTACATTTTTCAACTTTTCTGTTTTTTGATTTTTCCATTTGTTGATGTTTCGATTGCCCGATTTTTTAAATTTTCGATTTTTTGAATTTTTAAATTTTAAATTTTTCTCTTTTTTGTTGTTTCGATTTCTCAATATTTGGATTTTTTGCCTTCTCGTTTTTAGGTTTTCCTGTTTTTCAATTCTTCGGAATTAATGTTTCAGTTGTCGATGTTTCTGTTTTTCACTTTTTGGTTTATTGGTTTTTAAGTTAAAATTTTTGAATTTTTGAATTTTTCGATTTTTCGACTTCTCGAACTTTTGATGTTTTGATTTCTCGATTTCTAAGTTTTTCGATAATTCATCTTTTCGATTTTTCGATTTTCCAATTTTTCAGCAGTACAGTTTTGGGATTTTTGTATGTATTTAAATTTTTCGATTTTTCAATTCTTCAATTTTTGGCGGTTCCAAGTTTTTGGATCTTTCGATTTCTCAATTTCTCGATTAATGGGTTTTTTAATTTTTCGACTTTTCGATTTTTCGTCTTTCCGATTTCTCGATTTCTCAATTTTTCTATTTTCAAATTTTCAATGTTTACGTTTTGGGATTTTTCAATGTGTTTCGATTTTTAAATTTTTAAGCTTTTCGACTTTGTTTTTTTCATTTTACTTACTCGATTTTTCAAAAAAAAATTACGACTTTTTAAATCTTACATTTTTCAACTTTTCTGTTTTTTGATTTTTCTATTTGTTGATGTTTTGATTGCCCGATTTTTTAAATTTTCGATTTTTTGAATTTTTAAATGATAGATTTTTCTCTTTTTTGTTGTTTCGATTTCTCAATATTTGGATTTTTTCCCTTCTCGTTTTTAGATTTTCCTGTTTTTCAATTCTTCGGAATTAATGTTTCAGTTGTCGATGTTTCTGTTTTTCACTTTTTGGTTTATTGGTTTTTAAGTTAAAATTTTTGAATTTTTCAATTTTTCGATTTCTCGATTTCTCAGTTTTTCGATAATTCATCTTTTCGATTTTTCGATTTTCCAATTTTTCAGCAGTACAGTTTTGGGATTTTTGTATGTTTTTAAATTTTTCGATTTTTCAATTTTTCAATTTTTGGCGGTTCCAAGTTTTGGATCTTTCGATTTCTCAATTTCTCGATTAATGGATTTTTTAATTTTTCGACTTTTCGATTTTTCGTCTTTCCGATTTCTCGATTTCTCAATTCTTCGATTTTCAAATTTTCAATGTTTACGTTTTGGGATTTTTCAATGTGTTTCGATTTTTAAATTTTTAAGTTTTTCGACTTTGTTTTTTTCATTTTACTTATTCGATTTTTCAAAAAAAAATACGACTTTTTAAATCTTACATTTTTCAACTTTTCTGTTTTTTGATTTTTCTATTTGTTGATGTTTTGATTGCCCGATTTTTTAAATTTTCGATTTTTTGAATTTTTAAATGATAGATTTTTCTCTTTTTTGTTGTTTCGATTTCTCAATATTTGGATTTTTTCCCTTCTCGTTTTTAGATTTTCCTGTTTTTCAATTCTTCGAAATTAATGTTACAGTTGTCGATGTTTCTGTTTTTCACTTTTTGGTTTATTGGTTTTTGAGTTAAAATTTTTGAATTTTTCAATTTTTCGATTTTTCGACTTTTCGAACGTTTGATGTTTCGATTTCTCGATTTCTCAGTTTTTCGATAATTTATCTTTTCGATTTTTCGATTTTCCAATTTTTCAGCAGTACAGTTTTGGGATTTTTGTATGTATTTAAATTTTTCGATTTTTCAATTTTTCAATTTTTGGCTGTTCCAAGTTTTTGTATCTTCCGATTTCTCAATTTCTCGATTAATGGATTTTTTAATTTTTCGACTTTTCGATTTTTCGTCTTTCCGATTTCTCGATTTCTCAATTTTTCGATTTTCAAATTTTCATTGTTTACGTTTTGGGATTTTTCAATGTGTTTCGATTTTTAAATTTTTAAGTTTTTCGACTTTGTTTTTTCATTTTACTTATTCGATTTTTCAAAAAAATTACGACTTTTTAAATCTTACATTTTTCAACTTTTCTGTTTTTTGAATTTTCTATTTGTTGATGTTTTGATTGCCCGATTTTTTAAATTTTCGATTTTTTGAATTTTTAAATGATAGATTTTTCTCTTTTTTGTTGTTTCGATTTCTCAATTTTTGGATTTTTTCCCTTCTCGTTTATAGATTTTCCTGTTTTTCAATTCTTCGAAATTAATGTTTCAGTTGTCGATGTTTCTGTTTTTCACTTTTTGGTTTATTGGTTTTTAAGTTAAAATTTTTGAATTTTTCAATTTTTCGATTTCTCGATTTCTCAGTTTTTCGATAATTCATCTTTTCGATTTTTCGATTTTCCAATTTTTCAGCAGTACAGTTTTGGGATTTTTCTATGTATTTAAATTTTTCGATTTTTTAATTTTTCAATTTTTGGCTGTTCCAAGTTTTTGGATCTTTCGATTTCTCAATTTCTCGATTAATGGATTTTTTAATTTTTCGACTTTTCGATTTTTCGTCTTTCCGATTTCCCGATTTCTCAATTTTGCGATTTTCAAATTTTCGATGTTTAAGTTTTGGGATTTTTCAATATGTATTTCGGTTTTTAAATTTTTAGGTTTTTCGACTTTGTTTTTTCATTTTACTTATTCAATTTTTCAAAATATTGCAACTTTTTAAATCTTACATTTTTCAACTTTTCTGTTTTTTGATTTTTCTATTTGTTGATGTTTTGATTGCCCGATTTTTTAAATTTTCGATTTTTTGAATTTTTAAATGATAGATTTTTCTCTTTTTTGTTGTTTCGATTTCTCAATATTTGGATTTTTTCCTTCTCGTTCTTAGATTTTCCTGTTTTTCAATTCTTCGAAATTAATGTTTCAGTTGTCGATGTTTCTGTTTTTCACTTTTTGGTTTATTGGTTATTAAGTTAAAATTTTTGAATTTTTTAATTTTTCGATTTTTCGACTTTTCGGACGTTTGATGTTTCGATTTCTTGATTTCTCAATTTTTCGATTTTCAAATTTTCAATGTTTACGTTTTGAGATTTTTCAATTTGTATTTCGATTTTTAAATTTTTAGGTTTTTCGACTTTGTTTTTTCAATTAACTTATTCGATTTTTCAAAATATTGCGACTTTTTAAATCTTACATTTTTCAACTTTTCTGTTTTTTGATTTTTCCATTTGTTAATATTTTGATTGCCCGATTTTCTAAATTTTCGATTTTTTGAATTTTAAAATTTTTGATTTTTCTCTTTTTTGTTGTTTCGATTTCTCAATATTTGGATTTTTTGCCTTCTCGTTTTAAGATTTTCCTGTTTTTCAATTCTTGGGAATTAATGTTTCAGTTGTCGATGTTTCTGTTTTTCACTTTTTGGTTTATTGGTTTTTAAGTTAAAATTTTTGAATTTTTTAAT